GCAGGTAAGTCAGTAAGGCCTAATTAATAGTGAAAATATTTGTATTAAGAAATGACAGGGCTATTTGAAAAACATGTGCCAGTGATGGAGAGAAGGCTCCTCCTCCTCTGCAAAGCCAAGGCAGGTGACTGACTGATAGACAGCATTTCTCAGAGCTGCTGCTGTCCTTCCTTGCGCTAGACCAGCGTTTGCATTACCTTCTGAGACAATAAGTATCACAATGGTAATTAGACACTACTAAATCTCTGCCTAAGACTAAACCATGGGAACATATTAAGTGCCTTTCTGAGACTGAATCACTAGTTACACTATTAACTTTCCTGAGAGGATGTTTATGCAGAGACAAACTGGGCATGTTCTTTGATCAGGCTTTACAAGGATGCTGTTAGCAGGCTGGATTTACCTCCCCCCTCTGTTTATAGCTATAGTATGTGCCATCTACATAGAGCAGAGTCTGGAGGTCGGGGGTTGGCACTAAGCAGAATGACTGCAGGACAGACCTTAATGATTGATGTAATGTTTGAACATCAAGTGATGTTTGCTCGTAGGAGGAGGGGAGAGGCAGGTCTTTCAAGACCTGTACGTCTCTGGACAGATTACATCATGTCTGGGCTGGTCACTGCAGACGAGTGGAATGCACTTAACTAATGTATTGAACCTCAACATGAAACTAAGTTTTCTCTGATGAAACAACATTTATTTTCCACTTTTCCTCTAAAAAGGATGTTTATTGTGTGTCTCTATTCCGCCTTTGTTACTGTTCCGGCTGCTGAGCATGCTGGTTCTTCTTGAGCATAATGTGGCAGAGTCTGTGCAAAGAACTGTGAGAGAGCAGACCAAATAAGGTCTAAAATGATTACCATTTCATGATAATTACTACAAGTATCAATGAGAAATACTTTAGAAAACAGTGTCTGCTTTTATCTCCAAATTACTGTTAATAAGGCAGGTGTGACTCTGCACACCATAGCTAATTGCCACTGGTAGAAAATCCTACACTGTTTTGCTCGTGTGTGTGTGTGTGTGTGTGTGTTTTAATTACTGCTGTAATTTTTCTGGACTTACAAGCAAAGGGTCAAGTTCAAAAACTACTGCTTGGATCTGCCCACTTAGGAACACATCTTCTGCTTTCATGCAACTGTTGATGTGAGGTGAAGAATGAAAATTTTGGAAAATAGAACAAAACATAATATTAGAAGGTAAGGCAATTAATAGTTTATGTGTAGTATCACTGCCCCTCTAATATTAAGTAACAGTTAAAAGAGCAAGTGGTGATCACACCCTAGATATGGTTTGGGAAGGAGCTGGACATAGTACTGAGGAAAAAAGAACTGCCCTAACTTCAGTTTGGTGAGCTTGCTATCACTTTTATTTATTAGTAATAATACTGCTGTTCCTTATGTTTAACATGGAAAATGTACTCTGTTTATTTTCCACATGCTATTTAAAGTTTAACATACTCACAGATAGGGACAGTGCTAAGGCCCAGGCAGCTGCCTGCAGGGGAAGGAGCTGCCCTGCAGCTGGCAGAGGCAGCAGCTGTGGTTTTGCCCAGCAGCCAGGGAATGAGCAAAGGAAGCAGCAGTGCTCTTCCCGGAGAGCGGGCTAAAGGGGCAGCCCCTTGGCGCAGAGCTGCTTACCCTGTGTCTCTGGAGAAACATCAGTTTCACCCTAGAGCCCAGGCTGTGCCTGTCTTAAGGTTGGGTTTTCCTCCTGGTGAGGACGGACTCATGGACTCCCCCCCCCCAAACAGTATCATCAGTGGGCTTGTCCGTGAGCTCCTGTATCCTCTCGGAGTCCTGCTGTGTAGCCTTTGCTTAAATGCAGTCAGGTGTGTTTTTTGTTCATCCCATAATGATGTATGACAAAACTACAGCAAGCTTAGACTATAGTTCAGATTTCCCAAAATCCAGACCTGATTAACAGGTGTTGCCAGGAGAAGCTTGTACTTTCACGTTTTTAGCTCCACTCCATTTTTTTTTAAATGTCTAAATCGTAGAAAAACAGAGGCAGCAACAGGATGTAAATGACCCAGTATTATTCCAGCCTGTTTTATTTTGAGAAGAAAAATGGAACTGTGTTATACGAACTGACTATTACTAAGCTACTCAAATAGCCTGAAAAGCAACAAGAAGCTACAGAAACCAGCAACAGTAGGTAAAGACACCTGAAATACAGCCTTGAGGCAAATTGAAAGCAGTGAGCCTGCCTGCACCCCTGCTGTTGCTGGGCAGTCAGCATGAAGACTGCAGCTCAGTTGCTTTACACAATTAGCAGAGCAGACTTTTTTTTTTTTAAAGCACCCAAAGCCAATACTAGCAAAAGCATTAAAATATTTTTGTCAGTGTTTTGAGCATTTCTGCAATATAATTTATGAGTTTTTTTCAATAATGAACTTAACTTTCTTCTGATATTTAATTTTTGAATATATTTTTTCACAAAACTGGATTTGCTGTAGATAATCATCATGATCCTGAATTTTTTTTTTGTAACTGTAAATTTTATAATTTGTAAAAATTAGATTGGCCCTCAAAGAAATTTACAATTAAAAAAAAAGGTTAAATATACCTACTTGCCTTGACTTGTGTTTTTTTTTGTTTTGGGGCTAAATATTAACTTGATTTCTGAATGGCAGATTTCAATCTGTAATGCACACAGTTTGCACAGTACCTCAGTGCTACTTTTACATGTAAAATTTTATTAAACGCTGATTATGGATTGAATTTCAAAGGAAATTCATATTAAAGTTTTTAGAAGAGCATTTTCTGTATAAATAGATTTCACAGGTATTTCCTACTTCGGAGTTAACCTAACCCACCTTCTGTCCGGCAAGAGGCCGCAGCAGGCGGGGGGCTAGCTGGCCCCCGTGCAGTGCCTGCCCTGGGAAAGTGCCTGACGTGCTGCGCACGCAGTGACCCGGGGGCCGGAAGACAGGGGAACATTCAGTTTAGGTTCCTAAGCAATCTTTCTGGGGAAGTGCACTAGGTTTTTGGCACTAATCATCTAAGCAAACTTTCCACAGTGAATTTATACACCACACAAAGTGAGATGTGAGCTCTACCTATAGGCAGTGCCCTCTCACCAGTTTTATGTTTCCAGGAAAAGCAAAGAGATTTATCTAGAACAGCTACTCTGCAAAGGTCCATAATTCAAGCAGTTAATTTTACAGTACTACCAAAAAAAAAAAAAAAAACCAAAAAAACCCCCCCAAAACCTCACTTTTGTTTTATGATGCCACTCCATCCATCCACTCAAAAATACGGGTCCAGGATTGTACGCGCCCTGTGCTCAGCTGCAAGGGACCCCGACGGTGCCGCCGGCCTAGGTGGCTGGGATGTGTCTCATACGTACCCAGCACCTTTGGCAGGAGTGACAGGACAGCGTGTGGCATTGAGCAGCTCGCCTCTGCACTCGTTTACAGACATACAAGACAGGATTTTAAATACCCAAAGCTGCGAACTGCCAACAGTTAGTTAAAGGCAAAGAAAAGCAAGGCTTTCCAAACCTGGATGTTGCAAGAAGCATCCGCTAACAGACTCCTTGTTCAGTACGAACCAATTTAAGCTGCTGATGCTGGAACAGTCACTTTGAGCATAAAGCCTGTATGGTAAGTGTACAAGGAGCAGAAGGCATTAAAAAAAAAAAAAAAACCCACCACACCCCCACCTACAACTAGATTAGAATAAATCCCACAGTGCAAATGGCCCCAGGAAGCACCCAGCTACCAGTGACTTACGTGCTCTTTTGAAGACCATGCAAAACATTCATTTAACAAAAGGAAGTTACTGCACACACATCTTTCTTCAGTGGTTTCTCATGGGCGGTTAAAGGCATAGTAAACTTCCCCTAAAATATCACAGTCATTTGTTACTGACAGACTGTAACCACCTTCTAACAAGACAGAAAACTTGGCAGGTGTCAATCTCCTGCTTGGTTTTTTTTTTTTTTTTTTTAAACACACACACACAGACACACAGAGACCCACAGACAGAGACACACAGACCGAGACAAAACACCAGACAGAGACACACAGACAGAGACACACACAAACACAAAAAGGAAGCGAACCCTGGGCAGCTCTGACCATTCATTGCATGCTAGGGAAAAAGGCCTACTGTTTATAGAGAAATCACAGGCCTCTGATAACATGTTTGTATACAAGGCAATGAGACAAAGGTGCTCAGCAACAAGAGTCACACGTGTCTTTTGCAAGCAAAAGATTAGGCTCCACTGAAAAAAGCAGAGTCCTATCTAAAGCGAGCTGGTACAGCTTGCATGCAGCAGACTGGAAAAAATAGGTATAACCCATAGAAAGAGTTCACTTTTCCTTTACAGCTTAAAGTAATAAAATCATAATTCAGGTATAGTTTTTCTCTGTGACAGATAAACTGCATGTCTGATTGACGTCTTCCAATTCCAGCGCCCAAAATGTTTCTAACCTAAGAAGTAAGCAAGACAGAAAATGGTTTTACTATCTGCACAACAGTTCTGAAACTCTGGGGCAAAAACTTTTTTTTAGTAAAAAAGCCATTTCTAACTGAGGGAAAAAAAGAAAAAAAAAAAAAAACCTGTCAGTAAGGAAAGCACTACAAAACAAGCAACCGAGTACCGGGAGTGTAGGAAAGTGCGTAGAGTCACGGATGAAAGATATCAGGCAAAAAAAATAAGAGGAACATTTCTCATTTTAGTTAGTACAAAGCTCAAAAATACTTTTAAGTAAGTCAGAAAAAGAAACATCTCACATCAGCGCTTCCTCTTCCAGGCAAGTACGCGCTGTTTATGGCTGACGCTATTGCGAATGAAGCATATCAAGAATTCCTTCATTTAAATAAGACATGTAACTAAATACTGCCCTGGGGATGGTTTGATTCCTTTATTATAAGAAACACGCAAAACAGCCTCGTGCTTGCAAAGTCAATCCAAGCGGTCAGGCCCGCCAGACACGTCAACGAAGCGCTGCCTCGCGCTCCCCGCTCCCGCCCCCCCCCCCACTCCCAAAAAAACCTTTAACATAAACTGAAGGGTGAGTGATACCACTTACACGGTACATGGTAATAGTTTTCAGTGCCTCACACTTGACTTATAAAAAACAAACAAACCCCAACCCCAGAATGCTTTTTCTTGTCCAAAAAAAATCCCAACTGCATAAAGTACTCTGGTTTGGAGTTATGCTACACAATAGGGGCAAAGTAAAACAATAAACAGCGATGTTAAATGATTTGCAATGATACAGATGTACCTGAGCATTTTCCTATTTAATTAAGCATGTGTAATAGGACTACTCAGTATATAGTCAGTACAACTTCAACAATAAAAAAAAAAAAAAAAAAGAGTATGTGAAATTCAAACGCTAAGTCATACGCAGCTCTTTCTGGTGCTTGTACATAGCCACCAGAATTGAGACAGTTTTATGATCTAGCTCATAGCAAAGGAGAACTGAACTTCCAGACTGACTTTATAATTTCTACATAATATTATCATTCTGAACAGTATAAAATAAAATGGTGCTAGTGTCTTAGACTTTAGATATTTTACTATGCAATACCAGAACTGTCTGTCTCCCAACACAAAAAGAAAATACAAATTCAACTGAATGGCTTGTAAGAGCAACAGTACTTTACAGAAATATAGTTATACTAATACAATATTACGGTCTTTCCCAAACTGTTGGCATTTCAGATATTAGAGTATTTTTCTTTTGTATTGCACAGACTCAAACACCTAGACAGCCATTTTCATCTATTAGAGTAAGAAAAATCTCCAAGGTTATATGACTAAAATAGATACATTGGAAATAATTCAGATAGATAGATAAAGCTTTATAAGAATTTCCCATGTGTCCAAAACGATTTCTTTTACTTTATCAAAGGCTTAATGGTGATGTGGTTACCTCTTCTGGAGTAACATGTTTTAAATCAGAGTGTGCCAAATAGAAAGCAAAACAAAACAAAACAACAACAACAAAAAAAAAGCACCACTCAAGTAACACAAAAATGATCACTGTAAAGACAGCAGGCTTTAAAAGAGATGCTAAGATTAAGCTGAAACTACTTAAGGATACTATTGCCACAGATAAGTGTCTTAGAAAATCAGAACGAACGTACCCTTTAACCTTTTCATTGCTTTTTGCACTTCATGACCGCATAGTCCGGTCCCCGGTCCAGTTAAAGTCTTGTTACACCAGCAAAAAGTCCTCAGCAAAAGCCAGCTAAAGACTGCGGCTTTTCAGCCCGGCGGGAGGGCCTTGCAGCCCACAACGGCAGCCCAGTTGCTTCAGGGGAGCAATGGGCACTTGGGAAGCGGGGGAGTGACGGGCAGCTGCCACGTAGTTGTGGTCCAACATGACACTGCTTATTCTGAGCCACTTGGGAGTCTCATTTCTCGCTGTACAGCCCAGGCGCTACAGCCTTCATCTGCCTGCACGTAGACCAGCTCTCAGCATACTGGCACTTAACTTGCATGCATGAGCTGGGAACTTTTATACCCCAATTTTTCTCTATATTTCTTGTTTTTAATAATCAAATAAGATAGTTACATCCCATTCCTGTACTGCCATCTATAACATTTATATATAAGATTAACATACATAAGAACTAGGATGCACTTCATGGACTCTATCTTCCCATGGCTAAAAAAAAATAAAAAAAATAAAAAAAGCAAGCAATTGCTGGTGTTTCCAGTTTCCCAACAGAGACCCAGGACCAAACCCTGAGCAGCAGCAGGATGCTCTGCTCTGTGCTGTGGTTTTGTTGCAACAAAGAACTATGACAATTGTGCACCAGCGCAGTCCCTGTGACCTCTCAGGGTTGGTGTATTGGGGGAGGGAAATTAAAAATCTACTACAAAAGCTCATCCAATTGCATAACCCAAATGAATGCCTGTATTTCAAGCCAGGACAAACTCAGTTTAAGCCTCGTGGATTAATTCAGCACAGCCCTCAAGTCTGGGTCTGTTTGCTGCACTTTTAACATGTGAAAGCAAAACACTATGGGCTATACGAATAAGGCAGGAATAACTGAACTGAGCTGAGCGCCATTCACACAGGCAGGAAGAAACCACTAGTATAACATGCCGTGTCATGCTCCCGGCTGTGCCAAGGACTGAAAATACAAGGGAAGGAGCAACTTCTACATCAGCAGTATTGTCTGAGAAGCTGTATGTGGAAAATCAAACCAAACCAAACCCCAACCACCTTCATGCTTTGGTCAGTGTAAGAGTCACGGTGAGGGTTTCAGTGGTGGAGAGTGAGGAGCGAGAAAACAGCTGCCGGGACCAGGACAATGCAGGGACTCCCAAGAAAAAAAACTCTGGGCAAAAGCACTGTGAATCGCAGCACGGCAGTCATCCTGGCTAAGCCTTCCAAAAGACCTACTTGGTTTTATGCTGGCACAAAACACAAAATAAAACAAAAACCCTGTCACTCCCAAAGGCACGTCCTAAAGGCCATTGGGAGTCTTACTCAAAGGTTTCCCATCGCTTTCTGAGCTGTTCGACCTTACCTGGTGTGGACGATACCTCTTGCTTTGTCTTTTTTAATAACTCTTCAAATGGATCTTTTGTCTCCTCAGATTTTGAGGGTATTAACACTGACTCTAAGCCCTTAGCTGGCCTGGAAGGGATCAAAGGGGGTTCATTAGACAAGAGAGCTAGTGCTTGTTTGGTATCTATCTTTGAGCTGGACTGGCCCACCTGCAATGTTCTACTTTTAGAAGGACCACTTAAACATGCTGGCTGGAGAGAGCTTGTTGGAGAAAGGCTGTGGCTCTGCAGCAATAAGGCGCTAGCTGGTGGCACAGCTGGAGCCTGGCTAAACAAGTTGGGCATGGACAGTGTTGAAATGTTTGGCTGAGGTCTTTGTGGTTGGTAGAAACCAGAATTAGGTGCTATGAAGCTAGAACTATAAGCATGACCTAGGGAGGGGGTGAAAGAACCCCTTGGGGGTCTAACTAGAGACACTGGGAGGGCTCCTGGCACTGTTTGTGTAAATGGATTAGGAGATGGCTGTAGAAAAGGTGGTGCTGGGGAAGCATAGCCGAGCGGCTGGACAAACGGTGCAGCTGGAGAGGGCGCAAAGTCACTTGCCACTGAGGCAAAGCCAGCTGCAGGAGGTGGAACGGCCGAGCTTTGCAGGCTGTGGGGGCCTTGCTGTGGGCCAGTGCTTTGCCAGTTGGCAGTTTTTAATGGATCCAGCAGGCTAAGAAGGTAGTCGCTTTCATTGCCTGCATTATCTGTCTTCACCTTGACAGGCTGGAGCATCTCAGCAGTGCTGGCAGCACTGGACAGAAGCTGGGATGGATGAGAGGAGTAATTTACAGCCTGCTGGATTTCAGGATCTCGGGACGCATTACCAAGTCCAAAGGGCTCTGGGATAAGATCTGAAACCAAAGGGCTACGTCCTGTAGCGTGGGTGGTGAGAATTTCTGTTGACCCAGTCTGATGCTTGGAAGCCCGAGGTGCTGGTGGTGGTGGGACTATCCCCAGTTCAGGAGTCTTTCTTCCCTGTGGCCTAGGAATAGTGATGTTCCCTTGAGGGGCTGGACTTGATTCATCTTTTTCTGCAGGAGCCAGCACACTGTCTCTACTACGGGGTCTCCTTGCGATTGGTGGCATGTTGCCAAGTGCAGTCAAGGGCCTTTCTGGTGAGCTTTGGGAATACTTGGTAGGAATAGCCATATCATCATGACCCATGCTCCACAGCTTGCTGTAGGGGTGAGAGAGCTTCATGGTTGGCACAATCCTGTTCCTCTCAGACACACCAAGATCCATTCTCTGCAAGAAAGCATAAAACATGTTAACATCTACCGATCTCCTCGCAACACAGATCATAAAGTGAAGACAGGCTGCTGAGCTCTGAGTGGAGGGGGATGTGTCCACAGGCGGCGACCCTGGGAGGCGAGGGGCATATGTGCCACCTGGAAGTGCAGACAGGAAGGCTAGAGCTGTACTTCCAGCTCTGCCTCTAATGACTTGCTCAGCTGTGACATCCTATGGCACTTGTTGGTAGCCAAGTTAGGAGCTCAGATCTATATCTAAGGTTCAGAAGCCTTAATTACTGTATGGAAAAAAGCTGTCAAATAAAATATATGGATATAACAAATTAAATATTACTATAAAGTTGAAATGACATCTTTTTCTTCCATGTCACATGGAAGATATCAGAGTCTGCTTTAGATCAGCAGTTTCTAAGCTCCACATATTCAGCAAAGTTCTTCTTACAGAAAACTTGTCTTTTATGACATTGATTGTCCCCCTGGTGCCTAGCCCAAAATGGCCAGAGGGATTTTAAAAATAAAAAAAAAAAAAAAAAGATCAGAAGGTCATTTAAACAAACATACACAATTTGGAGGAGACCTGAGGGGAAAAAAAACTCATAAACACGTGAACAAAGGGCTGGAAAACGGATGCAAGTACCCAGTAAGATGAAAATGTTTCTCAAAGAATAAAGGACAACAGACAGCCCAGTTCTGTGCAAATCCTTCCAGAGCACATGAAACCCTCTCCAAACCTGGTATTCAAAAGTGCATCGCTGATCTCCCTCTTCTTTGGGAGTCCGCAGGTCTTCTAGGCTTTTAGCTTGGCTGAGAGGCTGAGGCTGCGTTTCCACTTCCAAGTTAGGGAAAATGTCTTCAAGGAGGTTGATTTCGGCAGCCTTGCCCGAGAGCAGCGGGCTCGGCGGCCGAGCTTCTTTGCCTTTCTCCGGACTGGCAGCCTCTTCCCCATCAGCACTATCAGATTCTTTCAGGGCTCGATACGGCTGCGGCCTAGGAGACAGGAAAACAAAAATGATGTTGCATATGTGAGTCATTCTAATCTTTTTTAAAGCAAGTATTTCCTAAGGAGCTTGAAGGCTTTTACAAAAATCTTTTGCCTGGCAGAAAACAAGCTTACAGTGCCTTGAGAACAGCCAGCATGCGAGCAAAGCAACCAAGGGCAGAAGGACATGCAAAGAGGACTTGGCACCGGATGCTTTTGCAGAAAGGGAAAGGATGCCAGCGGGACATGCTGGGAGGAGGGAGAGCTGCGGTTCTGCAGTCCCAGACGTGCGGGTGAGCAGCGCGCCAGGGGCAGCCGTACTGGGCACCAGCTCTCCATTCGGTGGCCCAGCCCTCCCTCCCCCGTGTCAACTGCTCTTACCAAACGCCCTGCAAGCGCTCTGGGTTTTGCACACACTCACGTTCGCTTGCTTCAAGCTAACTCCGTGCAGAGCATAATTCAGAGTGTTTCCTACAATAATTGGGAACACTATGCAGGGTTCCAACAATTATATTGGTGTCATCTTATCAAGAAACAACAGAATCCATTATGGAGACACCTATTTTACATTTCCAGCCAAGACCTAGTTAGCAGGATGCTTTTCTCACAGGCACCTCAGCAAAACCTGAGCACCAGTGGATTTGCATATTGGCTGCGCGTACAGAGAAGAGCAGCATCATACGCCTCCAATTAACAACGAGAAGTGCCACACATTCCTGCCGTGATTAGCACTTGACTGGCAGTCAGTTTTACCATGGCATTTAAGTAAGGTTTTCAATTAAAAGAAAATATTTGTGAGACCCCCAAAACAAAGATAATATGGAAGAATCCTCTTCTTTCCATATTTTATCATCATACCTTTATATCATGCAAATTTATAAGCAGAGTCCATCGTGCTTCATTTGTCAAGACATAAGTAGCAGGCATTCAGCTAGCAACACAGGGAGGCCACAGCGCAGGTACAGGACAGACAACTGGTGGTACAGGTCTCAAATTTGCAAACCCTGGTTATATCTTAAATTGCACATACGGTATGTGCCCATCTGCTAAGAATTAGATCAAACTGAAAAAAACCCTGAGGAAACTTTTGCAAACAAAGTACTTTAGTGGCCTTCCCCATCCCAAACACGAGAGCGTGGGAACTTCTTTCTGATACTAAACCTACAGAGTCCAGCTCCTCCTGCCCGGCTGCCTCTTGGTCCCCGCCCCTGCCCTCCGAATCCTCAGGCGCCCTGGTTGCCATCACGCCACTAATGCTGGTTCCAACTTGGGTCTCACGGTGGTGTTTACTTGGTCTGCAAACAGGTTCGGATTTGGAAGGGATAGTCTCATTATTAACCTGCAACAACAGGAGAGTCCAGGGAGCACAGGCCGTGCAGCCTGGCACGCAGCGTCACACCCAAGTCACAGCCGCGGCAGGGCTCAGCGCCGAACCAAGGCGGGAGGGACCGGAGCAGCAGGGGGCAAGTGGGAGGTTCATACCTGCCCGGGCTTCAATATTGCCCCGAGGCGGCGTGACTCAGACCGCGCCGAGCAGCTCGCGGGACACCAGCACCTCCTCCTGCCTGACTCCAGTCAGGCCGTTCACTGCGTTTGTTAAAAGACCGAGTGTAATTCTGTGCAATTTATCTCCCTTCCTGCCCCCAGAAATCCTCAAGGAGGCGAAGTGAGGGAGGAGCACATCCTCTGGACGGCACTCGGGGAGGCCTCACCGCGAGACGCCCTCCGGCGCGGTGTGTTCACACCCTGCAAGGTCTTTAGCCCCAGGGTGTGCTTTCCCTCCACATGAGCCTTTTTACAGCGTCAGACCCATTCTGGGCCCTAGGAAGAGCAGCCAGGTCGCCGACAGGCAGAGCTCCCCGTCCCCAACAGCTACCTGGGAGAGATTTCCGCATCCGGAGGCGCCGTCCGAACCCACGCCTCCCTCGGAGCGGGAGCTGCTCAGCACCTGCTGCCAACAGCAGCCAAGGCAGCTATGGAGGTTCGGGATTTACCAATTGTCAACAATTTTGAAAATGAAGAAGTTAGTTGCATATAAATAAAACGGTGAGTAAACTCAACAAACTGCCTGTTACTTCTTGTGTGATGTTTGGTCAGAGCGTACTCAAAACCCTTGGAGGACATCTGCAGGTTGACTCCTCTACGAGCCGCTGAGGATCTGGCACTTGACAGAAGAGAGAGGCAGGATCAAGCGGGCGGACGTGGGAAAAGCCGACGACCGCACGAGCACGAGGCGGGAAAGCGGCACGCTGCATCGGGCCGGGCGGTCACCTCCCGCGGGGCTCCAGGCTGACACAAACCAACAAGCGGTGCGTGGCTGCAGGCTGCTTCATGCAGGAGTATTTTGCTTTTGCATGCCGCTACATATCAAAACAACCAAGTAGGAGAACTACTAAACATTCACCAAGTGCTATACAAAGATTGCAGGAGTATTTTAAAAATTCCAACTATAAAAGCAGGCAGCCCTGACCAGTGCAAAAATCATGGCTCAAAGACTGAATTACTACAAGGAAAGGAAATAGGATAGACCATTCAAAAGGAGCAGAGAAGA